CGTAGCGCGCTTTTCGGGTGCTGCGACGGTTTCTCTTGGAGTTATTGCGGGCCCTGGGGCTTTTTCCGCGTCTTCTGGGCTGGAGGAGGCCCATCTTGAATCTGATAGAGATTTCAACTTCTGGACTTCGACGTCTAACATCTCTACCTCGGGTATATTGCAAACGTTAGCTTCGAGCGCAGCCTCGATGTAGTCCAGATTTTTCTCGGAGGCCTCTAATCCTTTTTCCGTAAGTTTTTGTCTTACAAGAGTTAGCATAGATTTATGCAATTTGTAGGATTTGGTGACGCGATCTTTGGTGATTCCGCTGATCGCGTTCTGGTGCGTTCTACGCGTCGGAGGCATTTTAAAATGCCGCCGATGGCAAACAATTACAATTCGATTCGATAGATGATGGGTGAGATGGATGATAGAGTGGGAATGGGCAACTTGGAATTTCTCGAATTGTGCGTTTGTTTGTTCATTGACATGCTAGGTGAAGTAACTACCGTCGCACTCCTACTGGAGCTTGAGCACGAGTGGGGTCGGGCCGGATCAGGTTAACTACCGTAAAGTACAAGTGCCTCGTCCCACCTCAATGACCAGAACCATGCCGAAACGCATCTATGTGTTGAAGCATGACGAGTACAGCAGCCCAGAGTTGAAAACAAAACAAAAGAAAACTTTCACGCAAAATCCTGCATTACAAAAGAAAAACTTTGACAATCTCCCTTCCATTGTTCCGTCTCGGCCACCACGCGCCCGAGCCTCGATTCCTATCCCTACTTCCATGCCAGATCACCTAGGCTTTCGTTCATCACCTCAGAGTCACAGGTATCCCTGCCATCCCCCGACTAGCCTCCACGTATATTCCGCTCTCCTGGACGTAGTCCCTGAACAGCTGCCATCCCCTTGATCCAAGCATTAATTCCAGAGCCGGCGCCCTACGCTTTCCGCTTTTCAGCCGCCATGTTGCCAGTGCTTTTCGACACTGTATAAGGTGACCAATTGATTTTTCCCTCCCACACTCGCAATTAAGTGTAGCGTCAGCGTGATTGAAGCGGCGATGATATGCCGCAAAGTCTCCACGTCCGGTTCGGGCAGCGATCAAGCGTGCGAAGACCGCTCTAGGTAGCGCTAGTTCTGGCGGTTTCTTGCGCCGCATCTCGAGTTCAAGATCGGCGTAGTGTTTGGGGCGATTCGAGTGCCACCAGTCCGTCAACATCTGCCTGGCCACTTCACGGGCTTTCCGTCCTGATGAGGCGAGGGTCATCACACCATGTGTCGTCCTAGAGTTGTCCGGCGAGTTAAGCTCTATTCGGGCGAGTTCATCGGCGATTTTACTTCCTACTAGCCCTTCATGGCCTGGGATCCATCCTATTTTTACAGGTGCGGCTGATCCCGCGGCCAGTTTCACGAACTTTTGAACACGCCAGGATGATGAGCTTGTTGTTCCCGTCAGTAAAGCCTGAACAGCCGCGGAATTATCGAGCAGGATGTAGATAGCGCTGCGTCCTCGATCTCGATTACTGGCAGTAATTGCTTCTATAGCAGCCAAAGCTCCATGAACCTCCGCGTCGTAGACCTCCGCATTGGTTATTTTGCCTGAGCCGCTTTGCCCAATTACCCTGCCTGTGCCACTGATAAAAGTCACAAAGGCCCATGACACTTTGTCGGTGGACGCCCCAGAGCCATCACTGTACACACAAAGACAGTCGGGTGGGAGAGTAGGTAGCTACCCTCTTATAAACCTAGCTGCTTCTTTCTTGCTTGTCCAGCGGGGAATTGGCTGAGGGGGGGCCCGAGGTCGGAGTGGTAGAGGTAGTTCGGCCTCTGGCAGAAGTCGATACATCCTCTAGACCCTTGAATCATGCACTCTGTCGAAACCAAGTCTGCTTTGGTTGCATGTCTTTAGGCCGAGTCGATAACGAGCGCTGTCTGTGCTTTCCGTGGCCCGAAGTCGAAGCGGATGGTACTCATCCAGTCTTCGGATTCGTGCGGCAGTCTTGAGCCTGCGTTCCTCGAGCAGAATTTGTGCTAGCGGAATGCCAGTCTCCCTTCTCAGGGCTGCGATGGGCATGGTGCGCCAGGTTGGTAGAGCCACGCGTATTCCGAAGGCAGAGGATTGGTCGATGACTTTGCTCTGTCTCTTGTAGGAATTACGCGTCACACCTCGATAAGTTTCCCTGGTTGGCCCTGGGCACCAGCCCTCCGCTGCATGCATCGCGATTGGCAGAACTACCGTGCGGATCACTGTGGTTAGTAAGTCGGGCCTTGGTCCCTGGGTGCACTGAGTGAGCCGTCGGAAGTGTTGCACTAGCCGCATTGCTTTACTGGTCCACTTTGCGACGTGGCTTTCGAAGGTCAGACCGCGATCAAGGTGTACTCCGAGCCATCGGATATCGTCGGATGCTTGTACATCGCGAGTGCCTACCCTTATAGCCGGAAGCTCGTGAGCCATGGATCTGGGGCCGACGAAGTAGACTACTTCGGCCTTATCTCGGTCGAAAGAGACGGCATTATCAGCAGCCCACCCTAGGACTGCATCGACTTCTCTCTGGACAGCTACTGTGGCTTCAGTTGGAGTTGAACCTATGCCGAGGATAGCAACATCGATTCAGGGGCTGTATTGGTTAGGCAGTGAAAAGTGTCGTTGAAAATTTGTTTCTCTTACCGAATGTTAGAAGACGATTGGACCGCACATCATGGCTAGCGGGGTATTGAGAAGAGACAGTCTAACCTATTGCGAGCTAGCCTTACTGTGTGTACAGGGCTAACCCCTTAAACAACCCAGTTTCAAGGTTAACATTTTGGATCCTAGAGGCACTGTAAACATCTTGCAGCGCGAAGTGCTTGTCACCCATACCCACCCCTCCACCGTACACGGGATTACATCGGGAGGCGAGATCAAATTAGGGTCTACAAGTCTAGAGAAGTGTTTCTTTACTTCCAACAAGGAGCAATATCGTCTAACCTTTGCATCAGATATTTATTGGGTTTGCAGCTATTTAGCTTTGGCACAGGAAAAGCTATAACAAGGATTAGAAAATGACATAGGAGAAACAGCAGGACGGCGGGGGACTATTCTCAACACCTGTCAGCGGTTTCCCCTACGAACCTCCAGCTCTCACTATAGAGTCTGCAGAGCCGAGATTGAGTAACAAAGTCCTCACTTCGACGAGGATTCCCAATCGCTTTCGCGGTCTGTATCGTCTTCATCTCTCAACACAATCCCCTATCACCATTATCATGAAGCTTACCACCATCATATCAGATGGTAGGGTCGGAGCTCTTCTCATCACCAACCCTTGATCATGGAGGAGAAGCCATCCAATAAACTTCCGGAGCGTACCCGGCACCCGATACGGAGATGGCGGATTGGATCAGGTCGACCTCGACTGTTACAAAGAAGGAAGATATAGATGAATATGCGCACCTCATGTGGTCCCGGTGTCTAGGCCTCGCCTGGCTGGGGCTACAGGCTTTTAGAGACTTATTACCGCGCACGCAGTTTCCATTGCTACCATTTTTTTTGGGGGGGTGGGAAGGTTCAGTGGAAAAGGGGGCCGAATTCCACGGGTAAATACTGAGCTGAATGGCTATTCATCAAGGGGAATATATCAATGATCTTTCAAGTAACAAAAGAGGATAAGAGCACTGTACAAGGTGTGGCCTGGGTCAGAGAGGAGCCCAATGTGCTAGATAGTCATAGACTCAAGTAATATATTAAACACACACACACAGCAGGACGGCCCGTAGGTGCTTTCTCAACTCAAAACTGTGGCAATCATAAAGATGAATCCAAAAAGTATGATCGTCATGGCGGTGGAGATGGGAGATTGTAGGAACAACTGCAGAGCTGTGAGTTGGATGAGCTTGAACCATTGCTTACACTCAGATTACTATTCAGTGGTCAACTACTCACATGTATAACACTTCTCCCAACAAGATTGCTAGTGGGTTAGTCAACCCACAACTTAAAGAGGCCTCTGTGGCTTCTAGTGGGTAGTGTATGGTGTATGGATGACAGCCGGCGATATTCTCGGCCGTACTATGATCCAAATGCCTAGATGTAGTTGTACATTATTAATATCTAATCTTCATCCCCTCTAATATCCGATGTAAACAGATCCGATGAGCTTCGAGAAATTATTGGCAAATGCACACATGGTATTTTGATTTCGTTTAGTCAATATAGGCAGAGGACGAGAAAAAGGTGCAGAAGACTTTTACTTGGTAGTATCAAGGAAGTAATGACCTCTCAGCCATTGTGGTTGTAGTGCACATTCGTTCAAGTAACTACTAGTGAAACTATGTACAAAGGTTGTATTCACGTGTGTATTAATAACGTGGCCTTCCTGATAGCCCCCATTATTCCAAGTTCTAAGAAATAGTTGTAGCTAGGGGCAGAAAACGTTCCTGATTCCGAGAGAGATCTCTCTGTATTTACACATAATATTTCCACCATATGAGACTGTTATTTTTACCCTAATCAGCCTAGTTTGTGTTATTGTGAAAATATAACCCTCCTTTTTTACGTGAGTCAACACAGTATGCTATGTTTGTGGTGTGTATATGTGGTACATGAAGGATGAAGATCCAGAGAGCAATCTCACAGATATAATAACTCAGCCTGCAGAATAAAGTTGCGATGAGGTAGTCTACGGCTATCTCATGTACAGGGCGTTTATCTGGTTGAGAATGGCGAAAATATCTCTCCAAATTCATCGATTATGATCTTGGCACATTAATATCCACTATAATTGGCATTTACGTGTGCTGACTATGATATCTTTTTTGTTTCAGAAGTGAAGGCTGCATATGTCTCCGAATATCCGTGTTTCGCACGCTCAAGGGCCTGATTTATTATACGCCTCTCCTAAATTGGCTTGCACAGTATGATCAGTTCAATGGAGTGGCCTGTTCGATAAATACGTCTTTCCATTTAAAGGCTTTTCCCGTTATAGTGGAGCCTATTCTATTATTAGGATCGCCATGTGATAAATGCTGGGTTTTCTGCTTCAAGGTAGCTCTACTGGCATCATATTCTCGGTAGGAGAGATGCAGAGTTCTGGTTTGTAACTATGTTTAATTTGATAACGAGACTCTGGTTCGCGGTTGCTTGGTGTAGGAAAGTGCGTGGATGTGATATTTTCCATATGGAGCGGAAATCTAGACTCAACACTCCTCGTGCTCATTGGCGACACCAGTGTTGGACTTATAGGTGGAGATGAATAGCCGTATCCACTATTTCTATACTCACCGTTCCTGTATTCACTATTTCTATACTCGCTGTTTCTATACTCACTGTTTCGATACTCACTGTACTTATATGCATCATTATTACTTCCGCCTATTGCTTGTGCGATTCTTAACCGCTGATTACTCCCGGCAGCCTCTAGTAACTGGGCTTTCACGAGGAGCCGGGCGACTAAGACTTTGAGAGCGGATTTTAAGGTTCGACGAACAAATTTTGCGGCTAGGAAATTGCATCTAAGCTCTACATCTTCTCGAATATAAAGACCAGTGACTGGGGCTCCTATGCCGATTTCAGTGGGTTGAATGGGTTCTCCCGGCGCATTACCTCCAACCGTCCATTTTTGCTTTATGTCTAATCCCATCGGCGCATAACAGTGTATCTGGGAGCCGTTGGCGAGGTCGTGAAAACATGCATTGAATGATATAGTCTTTTGAGGAAATCCAGGACACATGGTAATACGGTCAGTTATTCTGTACCAGGCGCAATGAAATTCTTCGGGTGTCGCAGAAGTGGGAGTTAGAATACGAAATCGTGAACAGTGAGCTGGATTCAGATCAATCCTGACATTAAATTGTTAATTAACTGAAGGACGAAAGTAACTGGTGAGAGGTTGAGAGGCTCACATTTCGAGATGGTCCTGTAGAGTTTGTATTACAATCTCACGCGATACACCTGCCGGGAGAGGTCTACGCATGCGTTAGTCTGAATTCTCGCTATTTACCGCATCGTGTTGCTTCAAGATGAGCCTACGTAACGGTTGTGAATGTCTTTTTGGGCATTCCGTCTCTTGTTAGCAGTGCTTTGGAATAATTTGTCTATCGTAGGTCAACGGAATCAAGCAATTTAGCGCTGCATCAGATCCTAGGACATCCTGACCTTCCAACTGGGATCTAGCAACGGAATTGTGAGGGAAGACCAGATGGGACCAAGCGGGAGAGCTCTTAAACCGGCATTTGAGGTTTGTTGAACCAGTTAAATGTGTTATCCGGTTAGGTAGCTAAGCTGACGCAACAGCTGCACACATTTGCCTGCCCCGGCCCTTAATCGCTCCAGCTTAACCAGTAGCTACTCGCGCCCAGGACTTCAAGAAATAACGTTCCGGTGATCAGTCATGTGGGCCGAGAAAGCTTTCCAAGTGCAGCCGCACTGGCTGTTCTGTTCATGGGTGTGAAATTTGGATGCATCGCAGACTTTTTACGTTCTTATTCAGAGTTGAAATTCTACTGTTTCCCTTCAGACAGTCATTAATAATGGTGAGTGACTTCCCAGTGGTCAAACACTTAGTTTCGCTTTGTCCGAGTTGTTCCACCCTTGTGCATTTCTGCCTAACAGCTTTAATTTTACACTAGCAACACTTTAAGCTTTCTTGAATGTGCTGGCTTCTGCAGGGAATGAATAAAACTGGTAAATGGTATCAAGGCCTAATCGGAAAAGGTATAATGCATCTGGACAAACGATAATCCTCTGAATTGCAAAAACACATCTCCTAGGCTGGATAAGTAAGAAAGTATAAAGTCTCTTAAGGATTTCAAAGGTAAAATTGTCAGAATGACTGGGGTTTTATCCCTGTGCATATTGATTAGATTGGTTAAGTCTTCATGCAGGCCCATGTCTAGTTCATAGACTAGTCAAGCAAGTCCGGAGTACTATCCAATGACATCCCGTGAAAGTCTAAATTATGGGAATGGTTTTCAACTCTATGGGAAAAGTACAATGGTCCTCATTTAAAATTCAAAATTAAAAAAAATTAATTGATATTCTAGCACCCGGACCTCCCCTCCATCTGAAATTTGTGCTTATTGAGATGGGTCCTCAGAAGGTCACGGTCGATCAGCATGGGGCTATGTGCTTCAAAGAGGAGGAATTACCTTCAAGAAGGAACGGGGCTCGCTGCACGGATGCGAAACTTTCGACGCCGAGATTGTCGGGGCAATAGGCGCGCTGCGAGCCGCTATCATTGCGAGACAAGGGGAGGAAAAGATAACCGTGCTACTCGACAGCCAATTTTTTTATTTTTTTTGCATCAGATTTTAATTGCGTATGCAGCTATCTAGCTATGACACAATATCAAAGAAAAGTACAGAATAGATGATTCAACGTAAAGGAAGAGCACTCATGCCTCAGATTTCATTTGCAAGTACCACTGCGAAGTTATGGCGGCTTTTTCTTCACCCTAAGTCAACCCTCATCCGTGAATACCCACCCAGGGGAACGTCTCAAAAACCCTGAGTTATCCAGACATGCCTCCGTCATCCATCAACTTTTCTCCGCGAGAAATATGATCTGAGATGTCTCCTTCCCAAGTGAAGTGGGTGCCCAGGCTACTTAGACTATACCGGAGAACACCACTAGGAGGCAGACCACAACACCTTCCATCGTTGGCTTGTGTTTATAGTGTCAGCTACACTCTCGCATGCGAGGTCTTGGCGCGCACAAAGCTCAATTCGTAAAACTCTTGCCAAAATTCGGAATTACACGCCCGTCGAAAACGTATCCCTCTTCTGCATCATCTTGTAAACTTGTCCTGATCCCTCTCACGTCTATCCCAAAGAGCTAACTCCCAGATTTGTGCGCCACGCTTTGCTTTCTCCATCGGGTGTGAATATCGGCGTGGGCGTGTATTTGGTGACCGGCTGAGTCCAGAGAAAGTCGACGAGAGGTGTGGTCATTGAAACGAGGATGTACTATGTCGTACTTGTAGACTTGATGAGGCTTAGGGATGAATCTGACTCTTTGGGAGTGAAAAATTGACGTGGTTAAGTGTTTTGAATCATTGCCTCGTGGGCCAACTTGTTCGGTATTGCGAAGTTTGACTGAACTTGCCACTAAAACGTTATAACAATACAAAATAGCGGCACGGAATCACATCGTCGTAGCGAGTCCGCACAGTAACACCCTATGCATGCGCTCCTGCAAATACTTCACTGAGCCACCACAACTTCACAGTGGTACTTGCAAATGAAATCCGAGGCAGAAGTGCTCTTCTTGTAAATTGAGTCATCTTTTCTGTACTTTTCTCTGATATTGTGTAATAGATAGACAGCTGTATACGCAATTAAAATCTGAAGCAAAGAAAAAAAACCCCATCACTGTGCCTTGCAAGCCATATTCAACTACATTTGAGTGATTTCTTACAGCTCATATACATCCAATGGTATTGTATATCACAACACGCATCTAATAAGACAATGGTAGCAGGTAAATTCTATTTACATCCAAGATTCTTGCACATGGTTTGGCACTGCGCCTATCCATCCTACTTCATATGTTTGTTCAACTAAGTTTATGACGCGAAATAAAGCTGCGCTGCTCTCTATCACTCTGTTCGCTGGAGCATCGGCCAAACTTCCAGTCCCGAATGGTAACTCGGAAAAATCAAGATCATTTTGTATTCCCCTCAATCGTTCATCCAACCGTCTCACAACTCGAAAATTATGCTCGAAAAATCGGGCGAGTTCGCGTCCGTTTTTCATGGGGAGATGGAGTTTCGTTTTTAGGTACCACATGTTCGATGAATTTATTTCGAATAGATGTAAATTGCCTTGAAACCAGGCCAGTGCTTGGTATTTTGTTTTTCGTAATTTTCCCTTGACAACGAGCCCGGGCAATATGACATTATTTATTTCTATTGGCTCATGCGCGATAACGCTAAATGAGTCTGGCTTGCCGGGTGGGAGAAAGCCTCGGAAATATCCACCCAATGACACCTTATTCTTCGAAGCCAGATATGATATTACTCTTACACTACATTTCCCGTCTCTGACAGCCGCTGTCAGAGTCACTGTGGCGTGAAGATCCAAGGAACTAGACAGTTGATTGAGATGATGGTAGCAAGTAGCTACTGATATGTCTGCACTATCGACAAAATCCTCATCGAATTGTGGAATTGTTTCTAAACCACGAATAACAAGCGTATTAATCTGCTGAAGTGACAAGGTCCTTGAGCAATATGCCGCTAGCTAAGCACCTTCAGATGCAACATTTTGGTATGACATGATAACTCCGGATTTTGGAGTAGGCAAAGGAAAAGGATCCGGATCAAGAGGCTTATAGACTCCATAGATAGACTCATTGCTGTCACCCACGATGACTAAGCTGTGCGGTGGTGTTTCTATCAGCGGCGTAAGAATCAGTGGTCTCTGCGCCGTTGAGAAGGTTAGAAAGGCATAGATGCAGTGCATATTTACCACAAGTTTCCTTGGTCACGTTAGTCAACCACAGATTCAACTGTGCAAAGATAGTGGCGGAGCTTGTGATCACTCACAAATAGCTCTTAGAATGGAGCTGATGTTTGCACGTCAATCTTCAGAAACGACCTTGAACTTGAATATTTCTCTCATCGGGGAAGAGTGCCGGAGCCTTGACATATGTATAATTCTACGTCAGGGTCAAAATTTTGCACTAACTCATTGCATCTATCCTCAATCCTCCTTACGTTGATATTCTGCGAGTCATGTATTCAGAGCCGGCCATTCCTCAGCACAGAGAAGGCGTCCAGCCCATGCAATATACGAGTAAGAAGCCGAGTAATAGTTGGCCAACAGATAAATTGAAAGCCTCGTCTTCAAAAAGAAAATTGACTCTACAAGGATGCAAGCATATCCATCCTAATTCTTTACATGACATTCTTTCCAGCACCTTAACACCTCTAGTCGTGTAGGTCATGCAAATCTCTTAAAACATTTTCTGATATCACGTGATATTTGCGTTTCAAAGACCTCTGCCAGACGTGTATATCTTTGCTATTCAGGTCGGACTCCAGATCCATCAAACATCCAACTTATCAACAGGAGTTCTACACACGATAGAGATAGAATACTTTCCCAGTATGGTTTAGAGTACACTCTATAACGGAGAAGCGTGTTGTCGTGAATCACACTCTGGCTTTCAACTCAGACATATCTTTTCCCGAAGCAAGAGCTCTATCTTGCATTTTAAAAAGTATAAATCTTAACTTGAGCCAGAGCATAGCTAAGAACCCAATATATGGTGTAAGTGTTACATAGAGCTAATATAAAGTACGGGAAGAGTAAGGCCGACGCAAATAGTGTAATTGTTAAGTTTTGATGCAGCAGATGGATTGTTGTGTCGCAACATAATTGCAAAAGGATAGTCTCTATTCATCCCCAAGCCTACTCTTTGTCGATTCCCGTCTAGTTTACTAATCTCTACCTTCTCTTGATGCTTACGACTTGGTCTGAACCTACCTATTTCAACAGTAGTAAAAATTTGGAGCTCTAAATTACCCCTTTTATGCATCAGATTTAAATTGAGTGTGGAGCTATCCAGCTTTGGCACAATATCAAGGAGAAGTAAATAATAGATGACTCAATATAAAGTAAGAGTACTCCAGCCTCGGATTTCATTTGCGGGTACCACTGCGAAGTTATGGCGGCTCTTTCTTCACCCTAAGTCAACCCTTATCCGTGAATACCCACCCAGGGGAACGTCTCAAAAACCCTGAGTTATCCATCAAATTCTCTCCGCGCGAAATGTAATCTGAGATGTCTCCTTCCCAAGTGAAGAAGGCGCTCGGGCTACTCAGACTATACCGGAGAACACCACCAGGTGGCGGACCACCGCACCATCCAACCACGGCGGTGTTTATAGTGTCAGCTGCACTCTCGCAAGCGAAGTTTTGGCGCGTTCAAAGCTCCAATTGTAAAAACTCCTTACCAAAGTTGTAAACTTCATGCCCTTCGAGGTTATATCATTCCTTTGCATCATCTTGTGAAGTTGTCCTGATCCCTCTCACGTCCATCACAAAGAACTGTCTCTTAGATTTGTGCGCCACGCTTTGCTTCCTCCGTCGGGTGTAAATATTGGCGTGGGCGTGTATTTTGCGTCTAGCTGAGGACAGAGAAAGTCTAAGAGAGGTGTGGTCATTGGAATGAGGATGTGCTGAGTCGTAACTGTGGATTTGATGAAACTTAGGTCGAAGTCAAACCCGTTGGGAGTGAAAATTTGACGTGGTGGAGTATTTTAAATCACTACCTCGTGGGCCAACTTCCTTGATAATGCGAAATTTGACTGAGAGAGGTGTGTTTAATATACTACTTGAGTCTATGAATATCTAGCACATTGGGCTCCTCTCTGACCCAGGCCACACCTTGTACAGTGCTCTTATCCTCTTTTGTTACTTGAAAGATCATTGATATATTCCCCTTGATGAATAGCCATTCAGCTCAGTATTTACCCGTGGAATTCGGCCCCCTTTTCCACTGAACCTTCCCACCCCCCCAAAAAAAATGGTAGCAATGGAAACTGCGTGCGCGGTAATAAGTCTCTAAAAGCCTGTAGCCCCAGCCAGGCGAGGCCTAGACACCGGGACCACATGAGGTGCGCATATTCATCTATATCTTCCTTCTTTGTAACAGTCGAGGTCGACCTGATCCAATCCGCCATCTCCGTATCGGGTGCCGGGTACGCTCCGGAAGTTTATTGGATGGCTTCTCCTCCATGATCAAGGGTTGGTGATGAGAAGAGCTCCGACCCTACCATCTGATATGATGGTGGTAAGCTTCATGATAATGGTGATAGGGGATTGTGTTGAGAGATGAAGACGATACAGACCGCGAAAGCGATTGGGAATCCTCGTCGAAGTGAGGACTTTGTTACTCAATCTCGGCTCTGCAGACTCTATAGTGAGAGCTGGAGGTTCGTAGGGGAAACCGCTGACAGGTCTTGAAAATAGTTCCTTACTTCTGGGAATAAATAATCTTCAAAGAGGAGTTTCGGAGAAGCGCAACGGCGCAACAGGGAGCATCTATTTTATGACCATGTAGAGTTCAAATTGAAAAACGTAGATAAAATTGTAACCCGGCTTATCTGTTTTTCGGACTTTAATCTGTAGCTATCGGTTGGAGCACAATGATGAAGCAAATGAAATGTTAGGAGTTATAGTTACAGAGGTACACATTGAGTTCTATCTACTGCAACTAAAACCTAAGTTTCGGCATCAGGAAAACAACTGCTACGGCCGTTACAGCCAATCCGGCCACCCATAAATACATCAATAACCTACCAAAACGCCCCTTACCTTCAGAAACCCTTCGAAGAAGACCCATTCGTTTTTGGGCTATCTCGAGCTCTTGCTCGTTCTTATCTAATCCTTGCGTAGCCTTCATCAATACTTCTTTCTCCTCTCCAAGTGCGACACCGAAAGCCAAAGAAGAGGTCTTTAGTGATTGGGCCATTTCTAGTAATGAGTTTGCTAGGTCTTCTTGCTCAGTACGGTTATGAGAGAGCAGTGTTTCTCTATTTGTCGATGTGATTGTACCAGTAGTTAAGATTGAAGTATTAGTAAGTTCATTTTTTTTAGATTTGAATCGCGCGCGAAGGGTATTTTCAGTTGAATCTTTTGATACGGAAGACGTTTTATTTCTTGTCAGTGAGGTGGTTAGCAAGGTATCGACCGGCGAATCGTCTTCTTCCAGCGATTGATTAAAGTCCCCCTTTGGTTCAGAGGTTTGGATACTATTGCTAGTCTCTTCAGACTGACTTTCCTCTTTCAATAGTTCCCCGAAAAGATCTTCCTGATTTTCTGATTCATCCTCAATTCCCAGCTAATAGTGCTTAGCTAAGTATAGTCTATTCGAGCTGTCCACTTACATTTTTAAGCTCTTCAAGTCGCTTCTGGAAAGTTTGTAATGTCAGTCTTTTCTGTGAAAGAGTTGATATTTCGTCATGCTTCCACCTCTGATCCTTGGCCATGGTGGCCTCTTGCTCAAGTCGAGCTAGCAGATTTTGCGCATAGTTAAGGTTCTATACACATCAGTCTATCAGTACTTATTCTTATTCACTTAAGATTTCAAAGGTAAGGGAAGACTTTACTGCTTCCACTCTAGCCCGCTCCAAAGCTGATATGCGCAACCTGGCCTCGGTTTCGGAATCAGGATTAATAAAAATTTCATGAAATCTTGTAATCATGTGTGAAAGGCTAATATGTGCTCCACTTTGCGTAGAAGCTCCGAAATTGATCAAGTGGGTATCCTCCATGAAGAATATCGAAATAGAAAGTATCGTGAGATTGTAAGGTTAGATTTGAAACTTTAGACATCGAGAATCGGATAGATTTAACATAATACGGAATATTAGAAGACGAGGTGCCGTTGACATTTAAATATTTGATTATGAAGTTTACTCGAAATACGTCGTAGGTCTTGGCTGTCCGAATACTGGCCAAACTGTTTAAATGAAGGAAATTACAAACAGTAACTGGTCTTTTTTTTCTTGACAAAATCATGCATGACAGCGATATCCAGTGGGCGGGATCGTGACTGTTTAAGATGCAAAAAACTACATCTATTAGTGGAGTAAATCTCTGCTCCAGCACTGCTGTGGCTAGATGGTTCAGAAGTATATCGTCTAGGCCACACTCTCGACTAAGCATTGCGCAGTCAAAGGTAGGCACCAAGATGGGCAGAAAATTAGCGATTCGGATACGTAAACGCGCACTTACCATTGTCGCGACATTAGTAAACTTGGCGACAAAGACATGCTTGGAATCCAAAATTTTTTGGATCTTCCGTGGGTTGGTACCCACAGAGGAGGGTCGAGTATTGGTATAAGTAACCATACCTCATAGTGGTCTTTGCGAATGAAATACAGAGTATGAGTATCTCTTACGTCAAAAGTGTCATCTAACATGTATATACAGCACTGATCATACTTTTTTAACTGTTGAAGTCCTGAGCTAAAGCTCTAGGTCTACTGTAGGTACAAGACTGGTGGAGCCGGCGGTGATCAATGCTTACAGGCCCAACTCATTCCGACCGCGAGACCCGCTACAGAAATAGTAGGATACCATCATATGAGAGGGAAGGTTCATGACAATATTTGCAGTTTTTGTGGTGAAGAGGGGCAAAATGTGCAGCATCTGTTGTTACACTGTCCAAAATTCAAAGACCGGAGAAGCAGATGCTTCAAGGGCATAGAGCCAAGAACACTTCCGACATTGTTTTGTACAAAAAGAGGGAAGGAAGCATTATTAACATATTTGGATACATCCAAGTGCATGGCAGCACATAAAGGGAGTTAAATTAGGACAAATAATTGGGAAATGATAGATTTGGAATGAAGGGGTAGTGATTAATAATGAGGGGAAGGCTAGAACTATAAATTAAAAATGTGTCATAGCTAGATAGCTGAATACACTATGAATTAAAATAAAATAGATGGAAGTAAATTACGACGCGGGCCCCAAAGAACATAGTTCCTGGCATCGACACCTAACACATCGCATCACCCATTACCCTTATTTACAAGAATCTTCAATCGGTGCAATGGCCCCAGCTGTTGCATCGTCATCGACAACGCCCTCCAATCCAGGAGGGAAACTTCACCCAAGCCTGCTTGGCATTGTGAATACAATGCACAAAGCAGAACAACAACGGAAAGAAAGACTGGATATAGCCCAGGAATTTCTAGAACTAATCGACTCCTGGGCTAAGAGCAAAGGAGAGAAACAAGCAGCAGCAGTTGTCGCGACTCTGCTGGAAAACATCACGCCTGTTATCACTGCCTTCGCAGTAGATCAGGTAGAAGCATCTAACTTTCCAAGTAAGAAGCCCCCCACTATGGCAAGCACTCCAAAACCAGTCGCGCCTAGGAAAAATACAGCTGTTGAGGATCACAGCCACGCTCTACCCCCAAAGCCTCAAGACACCAGCTCGCCCTGGGTGACAGTAGCCCGTAAAGCGGCCAAGTTACCGACACCACCAAATGTGCAAGTTCCGCGAAGGCCTGCTCCATCAAGCCACCCGAAACCACAGACAACCCAAAAGGAGGACAAACGCCTGTTCCTCCGATTGGGGAGAGATCACCACTGGCACAAGCTCTCGCCAGTTACGATCAAGAAAATAATAACCGACAAGGCTGGGATAGCAGCCTCAGCTATCACCTCCATGTACCCAGTCAGGTCGGGGATCGCTCTCGAATTCGCATCAGATGCATTGAGAGATACAATCATGAGTATTGCACCCTCCCTACAGGAAGACAACACCGTGATTGAGGAAGCGTCCAAATGGACATCATTGATCGTACCTCATGTGCCATTGTACATCAGGACGCTTGAAGGCAGCATCCCAGTCACCAACGATATGGTGAAGAACGAGTGCCAGGCTGTATGTGGCGCCACACCAATCCAGGTAAGGCCCACAGAAACAAAGCTTGGAAAATACTCAACAAGCTGGATTGTTCATTTCCAACAAAAACCAGCAAACACAAAGTTTCGTCTCTTTGACGAGAGCGGACCAGCAATTCCCTTCTCGCGCCGAAGACCAATCGAGCAATGCCAACGTTGCTGGGGATTCCACACAACGCGTCCCTGTACTCGGAGCCAACGATGTGGGAGATGTGGGGGAATCCATGAGACATCAGAGTGCCAGGCAAAGGTGTCAAAGTGCTCAAATTGCGCGGGACCTCACCACTCAAATGAGGGCAGCTGTATGGCCCGGCCAAGACGACAAAACGGGATAATTCTGCCCCGCACCCCGGCAGAACTTCACATCATCAGAGAACGCAGACATCGTGATTATCATGCTGCTCTAGCGTACTCTGAAAGGAAGGGTAAGGCGGTTGAAACCGTCATTGCCCAGGACTCAACAATGTCGTGTTAATGTTAGGAAACCCCTCAATAAAAGCACCAAAAGGTAAGTACAACACCATCCACTTTCACCAAGTGAATGTCGGAAGAGGTGGGGAAAACACGGATATAGCATTGCAGCAGGCATGAGATGCCGGTGCACATGTAGTCATGGTACAGGAACCATGGACAAGAAAGAAAGAGGGGGGTTTTATAACAAAAAGTCACCCTGGCTACAATAGCCACATACCATTCGGAGGAACAGACATCCGGCCCCGCGCGATAACTTTCACGCGCAAAGGTAGTCATGCGACTCAACTATTTCCACCGTTGTCAGGCCCGACATCTGACTACTGTTTTGTAAAGATGGGCAGCCTAACCTTTGTCAACGTATACCGTGCCCCAGGCACTAGTGGAACCTTGGAGCCCCTACTCCGGTGGGAAGTTAGAGGTTTAGTGGTTGTTGGAGGCGATTTCAATTCTGTGTCACAGCATTGGCAACCGCAAACAACAAATCAGTACGGCAATGGTAACCAGATTATGGAATGGGCAACAGCCCACGACATGGACCTAGTCAGCATTGTTGGAGAGCCAACGCACAGGGATGGTAACGTCCTAGATCTAACGTGGAGCAACACGGCCGCTGTAGCATCTGTGTCCAGCCGCTACCACTGTACCTCAGATCACTCGACCATCGAAGGTACCGTGCTTAACCCTACAGTGTCAGATCTCTCTGGAATTTTAAAGAACATTCGTGTCAGCGACGCCAACTTGAAGGAATTTAACCGATGCGTTAGCCAATGGACCAAATCTGGCCCGCTCGAAAGTGTCGTCAACATCGAAAACTTCACAAATGATCTCCTACAAGCACTTGGAGATGCGCTCAAGATTGCAAGGAAAGCCCCAGCCATCGAAAGCGGAAGAACTGGGCCATGGTGGGCCGATGAATGTCGCACAGAATGGCAAGAGTACAAGGCAGCGAGAGACAACCCTGACCTCGCGAAAGAGGCCCGCAAGAGCTTTAGAGCCGTGGTACGAAAAGCCAAGCGAGAGTACTGGAAGAGGCAAGTAGAGGCAGTGACTACTGACGCACAGGTATTCAAGCTCATGAGATGGGCTAAGCCTCGACCAGCCGCCGAGCCCCGTCCCCTGCAGATTGACGAAAACCGGTGGCTATCTGACCCGCGAGAGCGAGCTAGTGCGCTACGAGACATTCTATTGGCTAGGTTTAGCGGCGAGAACGACGTCTCTATCTGGGAGAATGGACAGGAGGAGCGTATTCCATGGGATACGGAATTATCACTGGACGATGTGACAAGCGCCACTGTCTCTATCAACGACACGGCACCGGGAGCGGACAAGATAACGGTACGGTTACTGAAAGCCTGTTGGTCCCATCTAGGACCTCTCGTGAAAGATCTTTACCAGGCCTGTCTGAAAATCGGCTACTTTCCCACGGCCTTCAGGGTGGCAGAAGTTGTGCTTCTTCCAAAGCCGGGTAGAAATCTGTTAACTGCCAAGGGTTGGCGACCAATCTCGCTGTTGTCAAGTTTAGGTAAAGGACTTGAGCGTCTAGTTGGTAAGAGAATGGCATGGCTGACAATAAGTCACCAAGTTGTTCACCCACAACTATTCGGCTCCGTACCAGGACGATCTGCAGTCGACCTTGCATCCTGTGTAATCCATGATGCTGAGGCGGCCATGAGAAGTGGTAAGTGTGCGGCTATGGTCACACTCGACATTCAAGGTGCATTTGATGCAGTCCTTCACAACCGACTGCTCAAACGCCTTCGAGAACAAGGCTGGCCACGATCCCTGTGCCGGTTTATTCAGACATTTCTTTGCCAACAAAAGGCTCAGGTCAAATACCGCGGTGGAATCACAGAAGAGAAGATACTGGAATGTGGAGTACCTCAGGGCTCGCTACTATCGCCACTCCTTTTCATGCTCTACATCGCTGTGCTTTTTGAGGATCACGGTCTAACGAGTAGGTTTAGTTATGCTAACAATGTAGCTATTGTCAGAATTGGAAACACCGCGGCGGATGCTATCTCCGCAGCTCAAGATGACCTCGACAGCCTTATCCTTCTCGTAAGAGAACACAGGATCGATTTTGACCCAGCAAAGTCAGAACTTCTAGTGACCAGAGGAGGGACTAGAAAGAAAACCAACGCGGCTGATCTTTCCATCTTGGTGAAAGATCGCCGGATCGAACCGTCACCTCATATCCGGTGGCTAGGAATTTGGCTTGATACCCAGCTAAACTTCAAGCAACAAGTACAGGAATGGACTGGAAAAGCTAATCGTCTAGTCCATTTCTTACGACATATAAACGGAGTTCAACGTGGTGCAGCACCCGGACCTCTGATTCGTGCGGTACATGCGTGCGTTCTGAGCACAGCTCTATACGGGG